TCAAGCTACCTTCCTGATATAATCTGATTTATTAAGTGAGACGATAACGGATCCCTTCTCCAGTTTCGTTATGATAACTTCCGTGTTCTGTTGTAACTCTTTTAGCTTTTGTAGATGTTGTTCCGTTATTAATCCATTATTCGATGATTTGGCACTGATATTGATAACAAGTGTTCATCAGAGTAGACTTAAGCTGTTCCGCTTCCAAACGAGATGAATGACACAAGCCTGCTAACTGAGCACACAGATTTTCAAATTCAACCTCCATGGATTTAGATGCTTGATGATTTCCTCGCATATGCTGCAAAAACATTCGGTGGATGAAAGACAGATATTTGAGGATTACGTTCACTCGATTGTGCACATACACGAGATTCGTCTACAACTTTTCGGATATAAATCGAGACGAAATGTTGACAGAAGTATTATCCTTGAGGCCAAAGTTCTGCTGTTCGGAGGGAAAATTCAAGCAATAAGATATGGAGGTTGAATTTGAAAGTCTGTGTGCTCAGTTAGCAGGCTTGTGTCATTCATCTCGTTTGGAAGCGGAACAGCTTAAGTCTACTCTGATGAACACTTGTTATCAATATCAGTGCCAAATCATCGAATAATGGATTAATAACGGAACAACATCTACAAAAGCTAAAAGAGTTACAACAGAACACGGAAGTTATCATAACGAAACTGGAGAAGGGATCCGTTATCGTCTCACTTAATAAATCAGATTATATCAGGAAGGTAGCTTGACAATTGTGAATGATGAATCGAAGTTCACAAAAATGTTCCACGAAAATAAAAAAACATCCCAAATAGAGAAGGTCCCTTCTACCACATTACGAAAACTTATGGTTCTGTTTGTATGCATTCACATACACACACACACACACACACACACACACACGGTCGGGGTTCCCATCTTCCAATCGCAACAGTGTTCTGATGGCTGTTGTTTTTGATCCAATGCACCTATTGACATGTGACGAAATCTGCCTTCGCTTAAATCGAGAAACCTAGCTCTTTCTTGTGCTATCTCTCCCCCTCTCTCTCTCTTTCATATATCACAAAGCTGACTTAATTTCTCTCGTGTCACGGAATCGGATTATTCCCCGAATGACCTTTGACCGAACTAAAGATTGACTCATCCTGACCGAACCCCTCACCCCACGCAGCCCTAACTCTATAGCAAGCACACAATGATGATCCGATTTTGCATGACCCCATTTTGAAGTCGACCACACTACCGACATGAGCGGTCTAAACAAAGTGATATGTCCGTCCAGTTCTTTCCTTGAAAGAGAATTCTTGTTGCTAAAGCAACAATCCGGGAACAAACAAATTGAGAATCGGACAGACTGCATTTCGATATGATGTTTTAAATCCAAGATGAAACATGACCTTGCATTTGCAATAGCGAAATGAGATTAACCTCGGACAAGATAAACAAAGTCGCGTAATTCGTCCGATACGTCTGCCGGAATAAAACGTATGGTTTGTCAACTCGATCTGAAACAGAAGAAAAGTGGCGAACAGTTTTACTTTATGAAAAACAACCAGATTTGTGATCGCATTCCAAGCGAAGTCGTCATTCTGTCTGAACTATTTGT